CAAGGAGATGGGACAGAGATATGTCCTGGGAGCCCATTGGTGACTGGCACCAGTTTGCACTGGTGGGACTTGGAAGACCCAGCAATGCGTGTTTCTTCCCAGATCTGTGTCCCGTGATCTCCAGCCGGGAGCCTGGCGTCTGCTCTGGAGGGAGTAGGTACACCACAGAAATGCAAACACAGCCAACCAGACTTTTTCCTTCCTAACCAGCCAGCACACCCCTGCATGTGAAGCGTGTCCTGAGGGCTGCACTGGGGCCAGCCCTGCTGTGGGAGCCTAGGGGCGCACGGGAAAGATTTGCCAATCTGCTAGGCCAGGGAGCCTGAGAGGAGGCTGCTGGGTAATAGGAGAGATGAGCACAGCGGGATGCCTAGGGAACTGCAAGCCACAGACGGGGTTGGAGAGGGGTCTGTCCGGTCCCAGGGCTGGTCTAACACAAAGGGAGTTTCTAGGCACAGGATCCCAGCTTGGGAACTAGAATGGTTCGGTCACCCTAGTTGAGACCCCAGGAAGGCGCTGGGGAGAGCAATGGAGGTGAGGCAGGACCTGAGCTTCAGAGGCAGCGTGGTGAGGTCCAGGTGATGCTGCTGACACCAAAATGTGTATGTGCTTGACTGCGCGTTTTCTCATCCACTGTCTCCTCTGCTTCCCGAAACATCCTGGAAGGGCCACATTGGCTCATTCCACTCGTTATACATGAGCAGTTCCTGGTCCCAGCACTCTGCCAGGAACTGGGCACCGATAGCACCAGCCCTGTCGTGCTCCTCTTCCCCAGGGACAGCCAGGGCAGGGAGGACACCAGGCCAGAACACAAAGCATTCCCCATGTAATTACTGACTGATGTGAGCCCGGGCAGCAGTCACTTTTGCCAGGACACCTCTCCAAGGGGATGGCATTTAAGCTGACTGAAGGAGGAAAGGAAACCATCGTGGAAGAGCAGAGACGGTCCCGGCAGAGGCTACGGTGTGGTCAAAGGCCTGGAGGCGAGAAACCACCGGAAAGCTCACAAGCTGGAGCCCAGTGAAGGTGACAGGGGTGGCAGGAAGTAGGCCGGTGACCCTCCAGGTTGGTGACCTCATGGCCTCTTGGGCAGTGCGCGGTGTGTGGATTTATTCAGAGTGCGGAGAGAACCTCTGAGTTTAAGCAGTGGCAGCTCTGACTTGTGAGAAACAGACCAGTCCTGGACCATGGAAGCAAAGGTGAGGTCCGGGGACCCATTTGAAGTACCTGTCACCCATGTAGGCTTCATCAACCCTTTTCCAGATGGAGTCTCAAAGGAAGGAGAGACCAGTCCAAGCCGGCCGATACATCTGTCAGGTCAGCTTCCTGGGTCCGTGTCTTCAGGCTTCCTTCCTTCTGCTGCTTCTGCCTGAGACCCAGAGGCTGGCAGCATGGGTGCCTGCCTGCCCAGCTCCAGGAATCCAAGAATAGTGCGACCTCTGGCACACTTAAGTGGGAGGAGAAGTTGGGGGGATCCGAGGCCCCAGCTCACACCACAGCCACACACAGCTTATGTGAGCAGAGTCAAGGATCGGGCACCAGGTGTGGGAGGGCAGCAAGACTGGAGAGACGGGCTTGCCAGTCCACGGCCCCCAGGGCCCCTGAAGAGTCCAGGCTCCCTGCGTGATGGGGAGCTGTGGGGTTGCTTTGAAAAGAAGCTTTGCACCCAGCGCCATTCACCTGTTCAGAGTATACGATTTAATGGGCTTTAATGCATTCACAGAATTGTGCAGGCACCACCACAATCAATTTTAGGATGTTTTTGTCACCCCCAAAGAAATCCTGCTACCCATTAGGAGTCATTTCCCATTCTCCCTAGTCCCCTGCCCTCAGCGAACACATCGACTTTCTGTCCCTTCAGATATGTGTCTTCCGGACCCACTTCCTATAAATGGAATCCTACTTCTGTGACTGGCTTCTTACACTGAGCACGAGATTGTCAAGGTTCCCCATGTGGGAGTGTGTATCAGTACCCACTTCCTTTTTGCAGCCAAATAATATTCCCTTCTGTACCAAGATACATTTTTAAGTGGCAAGGAAAGGTTTGCACTTTAGACAGCAGGCTTTGCAGTGTGGGCGGAGGCAGACAGATGGCCTTGCCAGGCTAAGGAGTGGGTGGGAAGAGCTTTCTAGATGCCTGCAGGGGTGGGAGGCGGCCAAGAAGAGTTGGGGATAGGACCCTGCAGAGGAGGGAAGACCTGGTAATTGATTGACTGCAGGGGGTGAGAGATAAGAAGAGGCACAGGGGTGGAAATACAGTTCCTGGTGATAAGGTAGGGATAAGCCACCTCCCAGCAGCAGGTGTTAGGAGCTTAGTGACAGAGATCCAGAAATGAGAGGATGCTCCAGGGTGCCCAGGCAGTGATCCAATGAGGGACCACCTGGGCAGGGGTGCCCAAGAGGGGGCCAGGACATGCTGGGGGGGAGTCAGTCCGGAAGAGGGTCCAGATGGAGGAGCTGGCAAGGCTCCATGGGCAGAGGGCAAGAGCAGCCAGGCGTGGATTGGGCCAGGAGACGGAGCCAGTGCTGAGCTGGGGTGGTGCTCTCCAGAGAAGGAACGGGGAGCACCTGATCTTGGGGCCAGAACCCTCTGGCATCAATTGGGATGGCTCTAGACCTTCCCAGGGGCCTTGTGTCACCTTCCACAGAGCAGGAAGGAAGCTCAGAGAAGCCGATGGTCCACTAAAGCCAGGGCTGTGGCCTGCAAGAGTCGATGGCCCTAGGAGCCCTGGGCAGTGCCAAGTGGCAGCTGCCCCTTCAACTAGCAGCAGGACGCGTGGGGAGGGGGTCCTGGGAGAGAAGTGTGAGGGAGGACTCAAGAGAGAACTGGATGGGTGCCCGGAGCAGGATTTACTGAGCACCACCCACGTGTGACACAAAGGAGCCACTTAGAGGCAGTGTAATGTGGTGCAGTGGGCACAGAAATGACCAGGCCTCCTGGGGGTCAACTTCAGCCCCATCACCATAAGCCCATGTTCTGGGAAGGCGACTTCACCTCCTTAGGCTTTCATTCCCACGTCTGAACATAGGAGTGACAGGTGACTTCCGGCACAGGGCACTGGGCTGCCAGGAGTCAATCCAATCAAAATCCTCTGGACAGGACAGTGCTTCAGGGGTAACCAGCAAATGCTGGCCGTGTGCAGATTGACTCTCTGGAGCCCAGGTGCCTCTACCACGGAGGCCACAATAACTCCCTGAAGGCAGCTTTGCATCATCACTAGGGTCTGCCTGGCTACGTACAAGTTCTGTCTTCAGTCTCCCTTCTCAAGGGCTGAGACCAGGGTGGCATCAGTCACGGTAGCTGGCAATGACTTAGTTGCTATCTTTGCTCTCGGGAGCAGCAGATGTACCGCCTAGGAGGGGCACCGCCCTCTAAGGCTGCAGATGGAGTCACCCTTGACTCCTTACTGGGCACCTGCTTTGTCCGTCAAGGGTCAGAGCCTCAACTCCCTCCCTGCCCTGAGTTAGGTGCTGTGTTCCTTATAATCCCCACAGCCACCTCGGGACTAAATGCTCTTTCACCAGTGAGGATGCTGCTGCTCAGAGAGGTTGCTCCACTCATCCAAGGTCACTCAGCAGCTTGCTTTTGAACCAGATTCCTTAACACCACCAGGAGCTTTCTCAGCGTTTTTTGCAGAAGTTGACCAATGGAATACTCACCTCCAAGAAGTAGATACTGTCCCATTTCCAGATGAAGAAAGAGTTTAAGTGCCTTGCCCAAGGTCACTCTGCTGGTACAGGGGGATCTGGGGTTTCCCAGGTAGTCTGTGCACTAACCACTGTGCCCATGCCATCCTGCCTGTGTGGCATCCATAGCCCATGCCCTTCCCAGGTATGCAGGCAGCCTCAAGAAGGGTTTGCAGGGCACCTGCTGAATACCAGGTTCTAGCAGCTGTGAATCAGGCACAGTGCCCATCCTAGAAGAGCTGGGAGAGTGGTCAGGAGATCCCTAGACAAGTAACCGGCAGGGGAACCAAGCACTGGACCTCAAGTGATATCCCAGGCACCAGGGAGGACAGGGACGACTCCCGCTGAGGGCCTGGCGCATGGGCGAGTTAGCAGCGCTTCATCTCATGGAGCATTTTGTGCTCCCGAGTCCTTTCCTGCCCACCCACCAGCATCAGAGAGGCATCAGAGCAGAGCTGGGATCCTGGCTTCCAGCAGGCTGGGAGAGAGGCGGGACATATGACCTCTATCTCCTGAGTCCCAGCCAAGGCCGGCAGGAAGGGGAGGAATTAAACATGCACACACATTCAGGGTAGTTGCTGCTAGCAGAACCTAAGCCTCTGTCCTGAGCTGCAGGGCCAGACCCAGGGCAGGGATGAAGGCCACAGCCCCCAGGAGCACCCAGAATGCCAAATGTGGCCGAGTGCAAATACAGCCTCCCTCAGGTTGTCCTGGTTCTGCAGATCCCTTTACTTTAAAAATTGGCCACTACTGCCTGGGCCCCTGTAGTGTGTGAGGGTTTGTATCCTGTGCTTTGCACATATGTACAAAAGGCTCACCTGCACAAATGAGCTTTAGAGTCGGAGTGATTAAGCCACTATCTGGAGCCACGCAGGGACCCAAATCTGTCCACAGGTAACTCCAGAGACAGTCACCCCAGCACATGACCTCTCCGCAAGCCTTCCATGACCTCAGGACTTTCTTCTATAGTGAAATCATCTCCTGCTAGGAGCCCAGGCACAAGCCAGTGACAAACTGGGGAGCAGGTCCAGGGCCAGGACTCTGCCTCCCCTTCAGCTGCCACCGAGTGAGGCTGGATTGGTCCTGGATGCTGCAGCATGGGGTGGGTGGGGAGACTCGAAGGGTGCCACCAGAACTCTAAGGGTGTGAGAACTCAGGTCAGCAGGAGCCTTCTGGACAGAGCCAGATCTGCCTCCGAAGCCTGGAGAGCTCAGAACTTCAGGGCATGGAGTTGCCCGGTCGCAGAGGCTGCCTGGCCCGTCCCTCTGCCTCTTCATGGGCTGCCCGGTGACCTTCCCTGTGCTCTCTCTCAGGCTGCCCTTCCGGAACCTTCAAGCCCAACCAGGGCGATGAGGCCTGCACTCACTGCCCCATCAACAGCCGCACCACTTCCGAGGGGGCCACCAATTGCGTCTGCCGCAACGGCTACTACAGAGCGGACCTGGACCCCCTGGACATGCCCTGCACCAGTACGTTCCTGGGCTCCAAGGCCAACTGCGGGACAGCTCAGGGCCAGGGGAGAGCAGCCAATGCCTGGCGGGGGGGGGGGGGGCAAGGCAACCGTGGGTTTGATGCTGCCGATATGCTGACACCGTAGAGCACCTGGCTCTCACCCCCTCCCACTCCATCACGTGGGGGGAAAGTCAAGGTCTGGACTCACAAAGGAACAGGAGTTGGGGGTTTGCAGAAGAAAAACCAGCCCAGGAGCTGTCTGTGGCAGAAAAAGGCTGCCCAGTATCCAACCTGGCACCGGACACCTGAATCCCAGGCCAGGGTCTCTGACAATGGGTGGGTTAGAAGGCAGGATTACTACCCCTGCTCAGTCAGGAATGGCATTTCCTATGAATTACACAGAGCTGACCCCAGTGGCTTAAATCCTATGGTTTGTTCTCTTAGGTAAAAGAAGCATTGAGCTAGGCAGTGCTGGGATAGTACAATAATATCACAATGACCTCTAGAACACGGCTCTTTCTGCCACCCAGAGCATGTGGTTTCTATCCGTAAGATCCCTTCCTAGTCCCATGTGGCTGCTGGAGTTCCAGCCATCACACACATTCAAGGCATTAAAAAAGAGAAAAAGACAAAGAGACGTACTACACTTATCTGTCTCCCTTTTTAAGGAACAGCCATATTCAACCACTTCTGCCTTTTATTTAGTGGTTGGAATTTAGTCACAGAAGGCTGAGAAATACAGTCTTTCCTTTGGACATATTGCTGTCCTGAATAATACTGGCTTTTGTTAAAATGAAAGGGAAAAATAGCAATGGTACAGTTATCTCCCAAACACAAAAAGATGCCCAGCAGAAGGAAAGATTTAAGCAGATGCTCAGCAGGATAACACATTCTCGAAACATCTCAGGTGGGTGGACAGGAGAAGACTTGGAGTTCTTTGCGAGGCCTGGGCTGGCGCCAGGCAGTGGGCACAGATGGCATGCTGTCTTGGGTGCTAACCTAGCCCTCCTCCTCCCCTCCCTCCCCCCGGCAGCCATCCCGTCCGCCCCCCAGGCTGTGATCTCTAGCGTCAATGAGACCTCCCTGGTGCTGGAGTGGACCCCTCCCCGTGACTCTGGAGGCCGCGAGGACCTGGTCTACAACATCATCTGCAAGAGCTGTGGCTCAGGCCGGGGCGCCTGCACCCGCTGTGGCGACAATGTACAGTATGCACCCCGCCAGCTGGGGCTGACCGAGCCACGCATCTACATCAGCGACCTGCTGGCCCACACCCAGTACACCTTCGAGATCCAGGCGGTGAACGGAGTCACCGACCAGAGCCCCTTCTCACCGCAGTTCGCCTCCGTGAACATCACCACCAACCAAGCAGGTGAGCAGGGCAGGTGTGGGTGGGGGAGGAGACGGGGAGTCCTGCTGCGACAGGTGGTCCTCGCCAGCCTTGAGAGACACTCCTGCAATGGAGCAGGATGCAGCAACTTCATACACCCAAATGCTTTTCCCTCGCTGGAAGCGCACGTGGCCTCCGCCCCGTTGGAGTGGTGTTTAGAGGCATGACTGCCTTCTGTGAGGGCATCGTACTAAAGGTAGGAGTTAAACTGCCATCGCCAAAAGACCCAGCGGTTGGTAGCTTAGGAAATACCCATGCCTGTAATCCCAGCGCTCTGGGGGACTGAGGCAAGAGGACTGCAAGTTCAAGCCCAGCTTGGACAACATGGTGATTTAGACCCTGTCTCAAAATAAGAAATAAAGGGAAGATATACCTCAGTGCAAAGGTCCTGGGTCCAGTCCCGACCACCATCACCACCAAAACCAAAAAAAAAAAAAACAAAAAAAAAAAATGCAAAACTGTATTCCTCTCTCTTGGAAGAGTCCAAGTACAGTCCAGTGTACAGTCCAGGGGAGCAGGGGATCTGACCCCGAAAGGGATCCCCGCTGCTCCTCACCTCCCTGGTGAAGCTGCTCTTGCCGCAGGCAGCAGGGGGGCAGGAGCAGCGCCTATCTCTTCTGTGTGCAACCTGATGGACAGACCCTGTCCGTGTGGCCGCACCAAGATGTCGTTTCTCCTTGGCCTGACTTAAATCTCTGTCACAGTGGACAGGACATCCAGCAGTTTCTATGAGTGCTTCCTTTGACCCTCAGTGTTCCTGAGCCCCGTCTAACTCCAATGGATGCTCGGCAGGAGCAGCTATGTTCTAGAAACATCTTTCTCCTGGTACTCACTGTTCGTGGTCCCTTCTGTGGCCCCATGATCACCCCCAATGTCCACCTGCCTTCCTTCAGTGTGGCCAAGCAGTGGGGCCTCGGCCCAGCCTCTCCTCTGTCCCCTCCAAGTGGGCTCTACCCCTCCACAACCACTGCCCTCCGCTGCAGACCTCCCCATGGCCAAGTCCAGCTCCGCTCCCCACCTGGGGGCCACATGAGGTTCACTCAACAACCTTTGCTGACCCCCTTGGCAAGCATGGTCCAGACAGGGGAGCAAGTAGGCAGCTGTCCAGCTTGTCCTCGTGAGAAATGGGCCCATGGTCAGCACCAGGACTGGAGGTAGAGGTGGTCTGGGTAGGCCAGGAAGTCTCCCTGGAGAAGGCAGGGTATGATCTGCGGTTGTAACGGTCAGAGAACCATGAAGGAAGCGGAAAGGAGGGAGTCCCGGGAAGAGGAAGGGCACGGCAGTGCACGGCAGCAGGTGCTTTCCACACTGACCTCACTGCACCCCAAGGCCTCCAAGCCCCAGTTTCACAGGTGACACTCAGAGAAGTTGAGTCACACAGGTTTGAGGCAGGAATCTCCACCCATCTCCCCTCACTGCCTGGTACAGCTGTGCCCGGGAGCCTAAGGGGTCTGTGATGGATGCGAGTCTGTGCGTGTGAGAAGGTGGGGGTCACGGGAGATGGGGTGTGCTTGACCATGACTTCATACAGCTGAGTGTGGCCCCGCCTGCCTGTGGTGTGCCTGTCTTGTGTGGGGCGGTTCAGGCTGAATGGCAGCTTGTGAACAGGCCTGCGTTCTTTTGGGGCCAGGGGTGTGCTGAGGTCTCATGGGATCCACAGGGGGCTGGATACTGTAGAAATCCAAAAGCCACCGCAGTCGGCCAAGACCCCAAGCAGGTTACGGAGCCCCAGCTGCAAATCTCAAAGCTCGGAGCTAGGGGGGCCTGGCTCCCTGCAGGTAGAGGAGAGTCAGCACCTGCCCCTGAGAGGACCCAGAAGGGAGGCTCTGAGACTGTTTCCCTGCGTCCTTGGGGACCTCGAGAGTAAGCTGGCTGCGAAGACGCCTGAGACTATCATCTGTGGGGCCAGGGGGCTGCTGGGATGGGCCCGCCTGTCTGGATCTGGGCTCCCCAGAGAGCAGAGGTGAGGTAGAAGAAGAGGAGTGCGGGGGAGCCCCCTGAAGGACAGAGAAGCAGAGAGAACAAGCCCTGGAGCTGAGCAGGGGCTCACTTTGGGGTCCAGCTCTGCTGTCCATTTGCTGTGTGGCGTTAGTGCAGTGGTGGCCACAGCCGACTCACCATCACTGCCTGAGTCATTAGCCATTGCTGCTATAACAGTGCCACTTTTAAAAAACACCCTAAACTCAGCAGTTTACAATAGACACTTGTGTTCTCACTCACTAGGCTGGGGCTCGGCTAGAGTTTGGCTCTTCCTGGCCAGTGCTCTGTGCTGGGCAGGAGTCCAAGGTGTGGGTTGTGTTCATGCTGTCCCATGTGTCCCCTCCCCCTGTTGAACCAGCAGTCGGCTCAGGCTCTCTCAAGGTTGGGAGGTTCCTTCTAGTCCTCCTGAACACCAGCTCCTCTGCCACAGGATCTTTGCACATGCTGCCCCCACTACCTCACTGTGCTTTTAGACCTTAGCTCATTTCATTGACATTCCTGGTTCAGACACTGTCTCCCCAGCCTTAGCCCTGTGACCTGCAAGTTCCTGTGGTTGAAATTTTAGCCGTATGACTTTGATCACCAAGTTCCTGTCTGTCTCCTCCACCTTCACTCAGCACTATGGAATGGGCCTGCTTTTCTTTACCGTGGCTTTCCCAGTGCGACTTCCCACCATGAGCAGTCAGTGAACATTTGTGTATGGGCTGGGAAAACCATGGACTGAGGGTAGAAAAGATAGCTGGGGAGCCAGTGGTCAGTTTTAGGCAGACCCTAAAACCTAACATACAAACATCTAGCTCATTGCCTAAAAAGGACAAAGTATGTCTTTTGGGCACTTGGCTGGCCTTGCTCACGGTCCCTTGGCATTCGCCAGGCTAGAGCTATCTTCTGACTTCAAAGAGACGTTATGTACCTCTGAGATATGCTGCTCGTGAAGCCTTCCAGGGCACCTTCTACCCTGGCTCATGAGTGGTGCTTCCAGCCAAAGGAAGGGGGCCAGGTGCTTAGCAGTCAGGAGGTGGGGAGGACCCAGGCACTGGAATCAGGAGCGCAAGCCTGGCTGAACCAGGTCTGGCTGCCTCCCTGCATGCAGCCGAGGACAAGCATTTGGCTTGCATCCGGTCACCTCTGCCCACGGGCCACATCCCCTCCTCCATACAGGGCTGCAGTGAGGATTTTAGCAAATGCACCCAGTGCCTCCCAGGCTGCCTGGCACAGGTGGGCACTCAAAATGCACAATTGCCCGCATTCACTCCACAGCCGCAGAAACAGCTTGTGCTTCCAGCTCCTCGCTGTGTGCCCAGTGCTGGCCTAGGGCCTGGAAGAAGCCTCACACTGCGAGCAGGTACATCCTATGGTTCTCTCACTCTGTAGTTAAAAAGAAATCAAGGTACTAAGAGACCAGCGACTTGCTGAAGGTCACCCTGGCAGGAAGCAGCAGAGCCTGAATAATTACACCACTGTGTCCTTAGGACCTACAACCTGCCTTCTGCAAAAATGGGACAAGCCATGCACACAGCATCCACACCTCAGCCTGGCCAGGCAGCCACAGCCTCTGAGGCCACCTGGTGTGGGCATGGAGTGACCAATCAGGACACACGCCCATCCTGGTGGTGCCACGTGGGAAAAAGACATGCACCCGGCCCTCATAACTGCCTGAGCTAGCAGAGCCTGTTTAGGAGCCCTGACCTCTGCGGGCCGCAGGTCCCTTGCCTACCCAGCAGTCACTTACATGCCACTTTGGCTTTGCTGGGCAGTTGTGTTAACAGGAATATAGTGGCTGGGCTTAATCTCTTATGGCCTGGCACAAAAAAACACAGATGATGTGGCAATTTAGAGCTGCACCACGTAAGGTCCCACAGCCCCATAGGTTCTGAAGGCTGGCACGGGCCCAGCAGGCCAACTTTGGTGCTACGGGATGTACGTGTCCCTAAGGGACCATCTACTTCCTGGCTTATGGAGGTCATTAGCAGAATTTCAATGCATGCAGTTCTAGGAGCTCCTGAGTGCCCTGTTTCAGGACAGAGTATCAGCAGGAAGCCATCCAAGCTCCTTGAGGCACCTCAAGTTTCTACAGAACCCCTCCACCGCACCGCCACCACAGCATGAGGTACACAGCTCTTTCCATGCTTGCTGGCTCTCTGACCCCCCTGGGTAAGGGTCTTGCTTTTAAAAACTTGAGTGATTATGTTAGGTCTGCCTAGATGATACAGGAAAATCTCCACAGTTCCCCAGGGTTAGGATGTGGGTGTCTTTGGGGTCATTATTTGGCCTCCCACAGGAATAACCCAAGTCACTCTGAAACACGCCAACAGGGCAGGGGCCTTAGAGGCCAAGAGGTAGGCGGAAGCCCAGAGTGGCTGCCCTGGGTCACATGGTCCATCTTTAGTAGGACAGTCCCCAGCCCCAGCCAGGTCTCTGTCCACTCCACATGGCTTTCTCGTGGAAGTCTTTCAACTCTCAAAGCCCTTCTCACACCTGTGCTGTCCTCTGATCCTCTCGCCCCGCTGTGGGCTGGGCACACAGTGGCTCAGTCTCTGGAATGGCATAAACATGGACTCACCTACTCCACTCTCAAGGAAGCCACAGGATCAGAGATAAACATCCAAGAGCGCCTCCGTGAGCCCAGGCCCAGGAAAGAGGAACGAGAGGGAGAGAAAGAGAGGGGGGCGCCTCCTCCTGGGCCAAGCCCTCTGCGTGCCTGGTCCTCTCGGATCCTCCCACGATCCAGGAAGGTGTCGCTGCCCTGCGGTAGCACTAAAGACACCAGAAGGGAAGGAAAAGATGGCTACTGCCACAGTGCGCCGCTTTACTGCAAATCTGATGGCGTAAAGCCAGAAGCTGTCATCTAGCCCGTGACTCTCAGAGATGGCTGCACGGTGACCCCAGGCGCGTGGGGGATGCATGTGTGTGTTTGCGGTCCATCTGTTCTGGGTCACTCAGCAGCTCTGTGGGTTTTGTCAGGACTCAGGTGCATGTGTGGCGATTGACTGCTGTCAGCT